ACTGCCTTGCCAGCGTTTCCCACCACGGCATCGGCGAATAGCACCACTGCCCATTCCCTGAACTGGGACGGGCCCAGGACCAGCTGTTCTTCATCGTTCCGGTGCTCATGTTGGTGGCGAGTTACGAACCGGAAGGCTGAGTCAACTTGGGAGCGAGTAGGAGGAGAAGGGAGCCAGCGGAGAATGAGAGGGTGGGGGTGGAGAGAAGTGAGGGTTTCATGCAGATGGTTGGCGGCGGTTGATAGCTGGTAAGGGAGGACTCCCGGGAATGCTTGCTGAGTTAGGGAGAGGCAGTGAGCGTAGGCTGAGTCGCAAGCTGAGCTGAACTGGGTTGAGTTGGTTAGCGTGGAGCTCACTCGCTTCGATGCTGATTGGGATATCCCCATCGGCTATTAGACTGTTGTTTCGACGTTTCTAATTTCTATGGGGGTTTCTGAACCATAACTTAGTTTTAACATTTTAACAAAAAAGAGGGAAGGGGTATTTTGGGCACATACCTCGTTGAGATATGTTTTGAACTCGGTTGACTTTGAATAGCATTTCAACGGTACAAGAGTGATTTACTTTTTCCATCGGAGGAAAAGCAAAAGCTGTACCATAATTGTAATCTGATTCAGAGATCACCCGCAAAATTCTCGAAGCATTCCTTGCTTTCCAGTTCCCATAGTATGGAACAGAAGGTAGTTGAAGCTGTCCTTGGTGCTGCTGTGCAGTTGACACTATCCAAGGTGATTTCTCTTGCTGCTGAACAAATTAGCCTGGCATGTGATTTCAAGAAGGACCTGAAAAGGCTCAGGGTCTTGCTAACCATGATTCAGGCAATGTTACAAGATGCAGAGGAAAAGCATGTTCGAGATGGGGCTGTCAGACTGTGGCTGGAGGAGCTTAGAGATGTTGCTCATGAGGTTGATGACGTACTAGACGAGTTTGCTTATGAAAATCTCCGGATGAAGGTAAAAATTCAGAATCAAATTAGTAGAAAGCTCTGCAATCCCTTTTCACCTACCTTCCCTGTGTCATATCGTTTCAAGATGGCTAATAAAATTAAAAATATTAGTATATCCCTCAGAAACATTAATGACCAGGCCAGTCAATTTGGACTCCAAAGGAGAGTTGGAGACATGGCTCTTGTACCTAGAGGAAACCAAGAGACCCACTCCTTACTTGGTGATTCATCACATGTTGTAGGCAGGGGAGATGATGTCTCGAAAATTATTGACTTGTTGATTAGATCCGATAGTCAACAAACTCTCTCTGTTATATCTATAGTGGGTATGGCCGGCCTTGGGAAGACTACTTTAGCAAAAGTAGTATGCAACAATGAGCCAATACAAGATCATTTTGGTAAAATTATGTGGGTTTGTGTGTCTGATGATTTTGATGTCGAAAGAATTTTAGTGGAGATGCTAGAGTCTCTTACCAAAAACCCTTGTGCAATTAGAAATAAGGATACGGTGCTTCGAAGAATACAAGAAGAATTAGGAGGGGAAAGATATCTTCTCATATTTGATGATGTTTGGAATGAAAATACTGAAAAGTGGGAAGATTTAAAAGGTTGTCTGTTGGGAATAAGTAGGAATATAGGGAGTAAAATTATTGTGACAACTCGTAGTGATAATGTAGCATTGGTAATAATGGGAACCATTCCTGAACATAGGCATCATCCTAGGAAATTAGTGGATGATGAGTGCTGGTCCATAATCAAAGAAAAAGTATTTGGAAGCGCTTCAATACCACCAGAATTGGAGGTTATTGGAAAGGATATTGCTAAGAAGTGTAAAGGTGTGCCATTGGTCGCAAGGGTTATAGGAGGGACGATGAGCAATAAAAGGGACAAAGAGGAATGGTTGTCAATTAAACATTGTAATATTTGGGATTCACTCGAGAGGAACAACGGTATTTTGCATGTGCTAAAATTAAGTTTTGATCGCTTGCCTTCACCATCTTTGAAGCAGTGTTTTGCATATTGTTCAAATTTTCCCAAGGATTTTTGCATTGAGCGGGAGCAATTAATTCAGTTCTGGATGGCCGAAGGATTTCTTCATCCCTCTGAGGAAGAAGGTCATATGACCATGGAAGATACTGGTAATATGCACTTTAAAGCACTCTTATCAAATTCCTTGTTCCAAGATGTGGAAAGGGATGCCTATGGGAACATTCAAGTTTTTAAGATGCATGATTTAGTGCATGATCTTGCTGTGTTTGTTTCAAAAGAAGAAACCATGGTTTTGGATACTGACTCCATGCGTGATACTTCTCATGTTCGGCATATGAGTGTCATCTTTAATGGGGAAGTGGTGCCAACCCTTTTAAGACATGCGGCCCCGAAGTTGCACTCTTTGTTTCTGAAGGTTGATGTTTTTTGCATGTTTTCAGGGGATCTCAAAAGCTTACGGACTCTAAATTTATCTGGAGCCTACATAGAAAAGTTGCCAGCTTCTCTGGGCAAATTAAAGCATTTAAGATTCCTTGACATCTCAAGAACTAATATCACAGAGCTACCAAAGTCCTTTACTCGGCTCTATAATCTGCAAACCTTGAGACTTGTAAAGTGTTCTCTTGAGAGGCTTCCTAAAGGAATGAAAAACCTAGTCAGCTTGAGGCATATCTATTTCGATCTTGAAAAGTTAATGCCAGTTGATATCGGACACTTAGCTTGCCTTCAAACATTGCCATTCTTTTTTGTGAACATGGAAAAGGGATGCCGAGTAGAAGAACTCAGATGCTTAAGCCAACTTAGAGGAAAATTGAAGATATGCAACCTTGAAGATGTAAAAGACAATGCAGAAGCCACTAGAGCAAACATGCAAGCAAAGACAAAATTATACAAGCTGAAATTGAAATGGAGCTACAAAAGAAAAGGCTACATCAATGATAAGGAAGTGCTGGAAGGCCTCAAGCCTTGCCCAAATCTGAAAAGTTTAACCATTGTGAATTACTGGGGGGATGACTTGCCATCATGGATGTTGAGGAGTGGCTATGGTTCTGATCACACATTTCCACTCAACAATTTGGTGAAGCTAAAATTAATCAATTGCAAGGAATGCCTAAATGTTCCATGTCTCGGGAAATTGTGCAATCTGAGGGTGCTTGAAATAGATGAAATGAAGAAGGTGAATAGGATAGGTTGTGAATTTTATTTCAATGGCACCCACGATAAGAATAACAGGACAAGTAGTAGTCAGGGTCAGGGTGAGGCGACCAAATTGTTTCCAGCTTTGAGAAGATTTGTCTTAGTGGAAATGGAAAGCCTAGAGGAATGGTCCGATGGTATGGATCAAGCAATGATAGAAAGAGAAGGTGTGGTTGTGTTTCCTTGTCTTGAGGAGTTGATTATTTCTGGCTGCCCCAAGTTGAAAAGTGCTCCAATACAGAGAGAACTTTCATCTCTTCAGGTCCTCCAAGTTTCCTATTGTGGTGAAATAAGTACTTTAGGGGATGGACTATCTGCCTCATCTTGTCTTAAAGAATTACATATTCAAGCTTGTCCAAACTTAAGATCTATCCCAACAATAAATAGGCTCTCCATGTGTCTGAAAGAATTAAGAATATGGGACTGTCCTAATTTGAGATCTATACCTAGTATGGAAGGCTTCTCATCACTTACAGATCTCACAATCAAGGATTGTGAAGGATTATCATGTCTACCTAGAGGGTTAGAATCTTGCACTTCTCTTGAAAAATTGAATATACACAACTGCCCAATTCTGAGCTCTGTTCCACAAGATCTAGGGGAATTGCGTTCTCTTATATTTTTATCAGTAACATCTTGTCGAAATTTGACTTGCCTTCCTGGAGAGATCCTAGGTTGCCTCACCAACCTGAAGACATTGCATATTGGTGGTTTCTCAGAACAGCTGGAGGAGTTCCCAGGGCTTAGTTCAATCCAGCATCTTCACGCATCCCTCGAGTATTTGGAATTATATGGATGGAAAAATCTAAAGTGTCTACCATATCAGGTTCAACACCTTGCTGCCCTCAAGTCTTTTGAAATGTGGAACTTCAATGGAGTTGAAGTGTTGCCAGAGTGGTTGGGAAACTTCTCCTCTCTTCAACGGCTTCAAATTTGGAATTGTAACAATTTGATGCATATGCCCTCTTTGGAAGCCATGCAACAGCTCTCTAAATTACAGAGACTTGAAATTAACAAGTGTCCCCAATTAAAGGAGAATTGCGCCAAGGAGAGTGGCTTTGAATGGCCCAAGATTGCCCACCTTCCAAACTTACGAATAGAGGGTCGGTGCATTCAGCAATGACAGTTTCAAATTTCATCTTATTGTGAAAATCAAGGGTAATCATTCAATTTTTTTCCTTCCTATTTAGTTATTAATTGTTTGATATACAAAGAGAGAGATGCATCAAGCAGGATACTTAGCATATATCAAACATTTTTTTCTTTTACTTGATCAAAAATATTGTTTGATATGGTAAGTATCCTCCTTCATGCATATGCTGCTTTGTATCAGCTTTGTTGTATTCTTATTCCTTTTCTTATGTATCAGTTGAAACTTTTGCTTTCAATGATTTATAACTAGAATTATCATGCATTACATGGTTTGTAATTATCCCACAGGTTACTTTAGACTTACACCTAAACTTCATTGTTAAATTTTCAAAATTCTAATTTATGCATACTTTTTCTAAGCATAAGGTAATGAATGTCATCTAGTTTACCTTGATATTATAATAATCCTATTTTGGGTTTCTTGTTTGTAAGATTTTCTGCTTGTGGTTGCTGTGAATCACTGACTTCTTTTATGTACTTCAGTTTCCACGCTTTCAACCAATTATATATGCTTTCTATGTGCTATTGGCAAATGAAGAATACAATGTGTCCCTAATTAAATCCATAAATCAGTTATTATTTACACAATGTGTTCTGTATTGTACATTCTTTTATAATTTCGATATACAGAAGGATTCAGCAGCTTATATATCTTTTGTTTCAGTGTTCACTGCCTTCTACTCACTGCCATATACAGACTCTCTTTAGTTTTGTTGGTTAACTTTTTAATTGATTATGTCAAGGTTTAAAGCTCTAAATAGTTTATTCCAAGTGTGTGGATCAATGGATTATGAAAAGTGTTCACCAATATATGAATTTGACTCAATTATATCCATTTTTTTTATAATATGGAATAAAACAATAAATTATATCATTTTAAATAAAAAAACTCTCAAAGTGTCTTTTCAAAAATAATTAAGAATTTCAATTGGTGAAAAATCAATAATATGCAACAAAGTCTTTATAGTAGTAGTCATCTAATCGACACACTGATTAGTTTTACGATGAATATAATTGAACGAGGAATTTAATAATTGATATAATATTTAAAAAAATTTTAAATTATTTAAATAAATTATTATATTTTTATTTTAAATTAAATAAATTTTTATTATTAATAATTAATTAATTATTTTTAATTAAAATATAATTTTATTATTTTATATTCATTTAAAATTGACTTGAAAATGACAAAATCATATTATCATGTTATTATATTACTTTATCATTTAT